TGCTGGGGGCTGGAGGTGAAGCTGGCAGCTTCCAGTGCAGACCTCTTTCAGTTCCTGTCCTATACGCAGCTGGAAATCACCAGGTGCTTGCTAGGCAGCGAACGGTTATTGCAGTCAACTGATCTCTCAGTCGTGTGTCCGTGTCTTTACAAGAGTAAAAGGAAACAATAAAATCCCGCAAGGGAGGCCGTGCAAAATGCTGGAGTGGAGCCCACTGCGAAAGGCACGAAGTGCTACCAGTCAGTTTGGTGAAGTGTCCTTTTCTCCGTTCATCCGCAGCGTCGTTGGTCAGCTCGAGGAAAGGCAAGCAAGGCTGCGGGATTTGCAGCGGGCGGCAGGGTCTGTGCTGTCCCCGGGAACGCCGGGCAGGAGCACTGGGCTGCGCTGCTCCTGCTCCCGCTCTCACGTTGCGTGCTTTTTGTCAGAGTTGTAACTCACAGATAGTTTACTTTCATAAATTTATTTTTTTTTTAAATCAGTGCTGACGCTACAGAAAGGGGATCTGGCCTTCCAGAGCTAAAAAATTGCTTCCTGATTCTTCTTGAATTTTTGTTGGCTTGGAAAGCTGAAATACCTCTAATGGCCGTACACGCAAGCGCATGCCCTAATGAGAAACACTTTGCCCCGTGCGCAGCTCTGTCTCTGTGAGACATTTCACCCACACGTCCAGGTTGTGGTTTGACTCTCAGAACCACTGGTTTTGATCATATTCCACAATTTATTTGTTGAAGCTTGTGTTGCTTAAGGCAGTTCCTCTCTGATTTGCCCATTTAGCGGTCAGTGTTTGATGGTCTGTTTGCAAAGTTTTGAGAGTCCGGTGTTTGCGAAAACGGTTGGGGGGAAAAAATGGAGAGAAAATATGTTAATTTCTTATAGATGGTGCAAAATATGTCTTTGACAGGGAGAAGGCTAAGGCATCTGGCATGATAATGGGGGATTAAAGTGTCTCTTCCTAAATAAGTTTTTCGATGTTCTTCTATTCGTTGAGTTGCTGGCTGCTAACACCAGTCTTAAGTCATTTTGAGGATTGTTTATAAATGCAATTAGTGCCCGGAAACTCTCATTATGTCTTGTACATTACTCTATCCGGAGTCCTGTAATGGTTTAAAGTGCATTAAATTACGATCAAATCAGAGAAAGCGATGTGGTACTGCTAATTTACTTGGGAAATACTGTGTGTTAGTGGCTTCGATTGCATAGCTGTAAAAAAAATCATTACCAGAGCACGTTTTTTTGCATTTCACTGTTTGCCCAGACTCCAAAGTTCTGGAAATATTTGATGACGTGTTCTGTCTGTTGCAGAATTAATGTTTGGTGTGCTCTGACTAGATTATCATTCTTCTACATTCTTCTATATTCTGGGGAGTGTGCTTTCCCATCTCGCTAAGTGTACGTGCCAGACAGAATTTACACATCAGTTGACTCAGCTTGTTCTGTAGGAATGTATTTCTTGCTGTAGTAGATGCACGGTGCCTGTTGAGAACTGGCAACGAAATGCCAAAAACGCAGGTTTGATGAAACCAAGGTTTCCACCCACCCAGCAGTGCACCCGTCCAGTCCATGCCTCTCCAGCATCACCTGTAACCAGTCCATCCCACGTCCGCATCAGAAACCCTCCCCAACGCACTGTGGACATCTCCTGCATTGCTTGTGCCCTGCCACGTTGCTCTGCTGGAGCGGTGGCAGTCACCAGTGAGAACTGTGGCCTGTGATCGTGAGCTTCATTCCACCAGTTGCTCAAATCCTTCCCCTGCTTGCTTGGCAGTGTGTGGCAGAAGCCCACCACAACATCCCCCTCCAGTGCTGACCCATAAGCCCTCAGAGCTGGTAGCAGAAGCTCTGCATGGTTGGGAGTGCTGTTACGGGCTTTGAAAAGTTACCTGCCCCTGTCCTTGCCCACCAGCGACGACAGCCGCCGGGGAGCTGCCCACCGCCTGCCCGGCCACGTGGTGCACGGTGTCCTGACTTGTGGGGCAGTGACCCCGAGTCGTTGCCTGAAGAAGAGAAGGCTGCGAGGGGACCTTAGAAATGCCTACAAATATCTGAAGGGTGGGTGTCAGGAGGATGGGGCCAAGCTCTTTTCAGTGGTGCCCAGTGACAGGACAAGGGGCAATGGGCACAAACTGAAGCACAGGAAGTTCCGTCTGAACATGAGGAAGAACTTCTTCCCTCTGAGGGTGACGGAGCACTGGAACAGGATGCCCAGGGAGGTTGTGGAGTCTCCTTCTCTGGAGATATTCAAGACCCACCTGGACAACGTCCTGTGCAGCCTGCTGTAGGTGACCCTGCTTCGGCAGGGGGGTTGGACTAGATGACCCACAGAGGTCCCTTCCAACCCCTACTATTCTGTGATTCTGTGATTCTGTGAACGTACCGGCTGTGGTCCTGCTGGTAGCATAAAAATAACGGGTGTCACTTGTGGCACGCCCAGCTGCTCAAAGGGTGAGAACCAGGAGATCATTCCTAGCAAGACTGCGGAGGGAAAGGAGTCAACTGTTTGTGAGGGGTTCGTGTTTTTCTGGAGTTGCTGATGGCTCTTGTATCGCTCAATGTTTCCCTGCAGTCAGCCACCTGCCTCACCCAGCACGCAAGAAGCAATCCAGGGCATGCTATCGATGGCAAACCTCCAGTCGTCAGAGTCCTGCCTCCAGGCATCGTGGGGTACCAATCAGGCGAAGAATAACTCCATCTCCACGCAAAACTCTAAAAAATCAGGTGGTGGCAGCAACAAAAATGCAGGCAAGCGGTTACTAAAGAAAAGCACAAAGAACAGCATTGACATCGAAGATTACGATGAAGATCAGGACCACTTAGATGCCTGTTTTAAGGATTCAGATTACGGTAAGTACAAACGAAGCAGTCTGAGTGAGCGTGCGCCTGGGTGCGCACACCCAGATTTGTGCATGTTTGCCAGTGGCCCCCATGTTTCTCATGATACGCTGCTCGCTTGCTGTCACGTTGAAATCAGCTGGGTGTGTTGGTGAGGAGGAGCGCAGATAACATGAGGTCTGCACGGCAAAACTAGGCAAGCACCGTGTGATAGGTAGACTGAGTACAGAGCTGGTGGTGATATGGTTGTCCGGGGAGACCGTGTTTGAGGCGTGCCACGATCAGAAGATCTGAAGATGCATGGAAGCCTGCTGAAAGTGCAACAGTCAGCCAAGGAACAGGAAACTGTCCCAGAAATGTGTGTCAGGTGCTGGTGCTTAGGATAGGAATGCCCTTGTCTGCACAACAGCAAGAAAATGTCTGGCTAAGATGAGTGGGAGGTAAAAAGGGATCCAGTGGTATTTTGAGTGTTGGCAGAGAATGCAAGCATCTGAAGCAGAAATGGGCACAAAGCCAGCTTGCACCAGTTACATCAGTTCCGTCACAGTAATCTGCAGGAGCATTTCTGAATACAGGAAGTGAGGAAATGAAGAAAAGTAATCACGTGAAGACTGATAGAGACTGGAAAGCCTGAAGTCCCAAAGAGGGCAAGGAGTCGGTAGGGGTTTGTGCTGTGTAACAGGACAGTCTGTGTGTGTGTTGAAGTCTCCCTGGCAAGCGTGGCCATCAGAAATCATCTGTTACGACTGGAAAAGCAGAGTGTGTGTTTTCACATTGTTAACAGAGATGCCAAGGCAAAATGAAGATGCTGTGACGTGTTGCAGAAGGCTGCCGAGCCATTTGGAGTGTGCTACATGCGCTGGGATGCGGTGGTAGTGCTGGCAGGTGCTTGGGGAAAGGGCAGCTCCGTGAAGCTGTTGGGCAGGGCTGCGGTTTACAGACAGACGCCGCGCAAGAACAGGGCTCTGCTCTTCTGAGGGGTGGATTTGCTTGTTATGTGTCCGTGCTGCCAGTGAACGGAGAGTGTGTGTTGTGAGCAGGCTGTTTCCAGAGGCTCTCTTTGTGCCACTTCTGATCAGCAGACTGCTAGTGCCGATGGCCAAATACCACAGTAATGCCAGAATCACTGGTGATGTAAGAAATGGCAACTGGCAGGAAAATCAAACGTGTGTGGGGAAAAAAAAGCCAGGAACTTCATAGTAAAGAGTGGGCAAAATTTAGACAGATAGGTTGGTGTTGTCCCAGAGGTCCACGAAAGGCCCTGTGGTAGAATGGTTCACGGTCGTCTGTTGGATGGCTGCGCTGCGCCTCGCCGCTCTCTGCCCAGCCGTGCTGGAGGCACACAGGCCAGGAAGGCGTGGGGCTGAAGGAAGCGGTTGGCTGGCATCTTCAGTACCAGTGTAGCCCGAGGTACGGAAACCTGCTCCTGTCTCTTCTGGCTGCGCTGCAGCTCCACAGACAAGAGGAAGGCTGATTTTTCCTGTCTGAGAAGTTTCGCTGCGTATCCTAAAAGCAGCTGCTCACAGTTTGATGACAGCAGCTCCCAAGTGTGGTGCGTGGATGGGAGCAGGAGGAAGTCCCCGGAGCGCGGCGGCTGCTTCACCGCTCAGCCGTGCCTCTGGGGACCTTGCTGTGCTAGCTGCGGGGCCTGAAGTCACCACGCCTGTGCCGGGCCAGTGGGCCTCGACGCAGGTAGAGCTGTTTCCTACACTGAAACGATTGCCTTTGTTTCCTACCGTAGTTTACCCTTCTCTTGAATCAGATGAAGATAATCCAGTATTCAAATCCCGATCAAAGAAAAGGAAAAGCTCAGATGATGCCCCTTACAGTCCAACGGGTAAGTCATATCGTCTGTGCTGCCCAGACTAAGGCTGTCGTGCAGATCCCTAAAAAACCCAGCTATTTTTTAAGGATTGGGGAAATTGTAAGACCACAACTAGCAAATTTCTTAATCATGTGAAGGATTAATCCTTTCCAGTGCAGCGAGAGGTGATACCGTGTGCTGGACTCATGCTGAGCAGTGTCAGCCTTCCTCCATCAATCATTTGGCAGGAAGAAGTAATTCCTGGGTAGATTGTTGGTTTATTTTTCTTCACACTCTTGGTGATGGAGCAATTGGTGGCCACCTTGGCAGTGGTATACCAGTGAAACCCCAGACAGCTGAGTAGCCATGGCTTTTAGGTGTTGACTGTGTGAAGAGAGAGAGCCTGGGAATGGTCTCCTCCAGGTTCAGCCAAAGCTGATGGTCTGGGAGGCTGTTTTTGATGTGACTCGCCAGAGGCAGTGACAGGCCAGGAGGTCCTTAGACACCTTTAATGTAGCCCGCTAACAGGGGAGTCTCCGCGGCTTGCTGCGTGTGTGACAAGCAGCCCATGTCTCATCAGCTTGTGGCCCTGCATGTGCACCCCCAGCTGACGGGACGATGGACGCTCTCCGTTTGGAAATGATGCCGGAGTCACCCATGTCTGCAGTGCAGGCAGACCCCCGCCTGCCGGTGGCGTGGCTCAGCTGTGTTACCCCTTGATCTGCAGCTTCTGCCCCAGCCACTGTGACTGCAGGCTGTCAGCACCTCCTGCCTTCACACGCCTCCTGGGGAAGGAAGGGCAGAGGCTGCGGCATCCCTGGCCCTCCCTGCTCCGGAGGGCAAAGCCTCGCTGCCCAGTGCATGGTTATGCTGCTCGCACGGGCGCGTTCTGCACATCTCACCTGCATCTGCTTTCCTTGTAGCACGAGTTGGCCCTTCGGTGCCTCGACAAGACAGACCGGTGCGAGAGGGCACGAGAGTCGCCTCCATTGAAACTGGACTCGCCGCGGCTGCCGCGAAGTTGTCACAGCAGGTGAGGTTGCTTGAGAAGTAGCAGCTGTCAGGAAACGCAAGCCCTCTCCCCCCGCAGCAGAGTGGTGCCCACATAGCAGTGCAGTGCCAGTCCTCCACGGTGTTTATTCATGCCAGTGACACAAGGGTCAGGAGTCTCCGGGGAAATAAGTGGGATGGAAGTCCCATAGCGTCGCAGCGTGTCTGACAACGCCGCAGCGCGGAGCAGGCGAGGTGTCGGAAGTGTAGAGGAGTGTGAACGAGCAAGCACAGCTGCAGGAGAAGACAGAGGGAGGCTGCCCAGGAGTGTGCGTGAACCGCCTGTAGATGTGTGCTGGAGAGTCTGACTGGTGTGACTGCCTTGTCGGTGGAAATTGGCTGCTGGCACGTGTAAGGATTGACTTCCAAAGATCTGGTGAACCGTGGGTAGGTGTGGGTCAGTTTAGCAAAGATGTTGAGGCGCTTTGGGTGTTGAGAAGTGTCCGGTCTCCGAAGAGGTCAGACAGCTGCTAAGCGCCTAACACACACAGGCCCCACAAATGTGACACGGTGAGGCGCGAAGGTGGCAAGGTGTGCGGGAGCAAGGTTGGTGAGACCCCTTGGCCAGTTGCTGGAGGTGCAGTTTGTGGTGTTGCTGGGCTTCTGCGATGCGTACTGTGGAGTGGAAGAGCTCTAACAACGGCAGCAATGTTTCATCAAGAAGCAGACTGGAGGTAGGGTAGGGAAACGGGATGGTGCCAGTTCTTACGGTACGTGCGTGTAGGTGCAGTTGCAGGTCGAGAGGTAGTGTGTGCATCCTAGCAGGAAGCGGAGTCCGGGAATCAGTGGGATGTTTAATATCCTCCATGCTGTTGTGGAAGTGTGTGAAGATTCCTGAAGATAGGAGGTGCCAGTTTTTGTGGAAGTTCGAAAGGTTTGTTCATGCAAAATCCTCCCAAGGCAGGGTCATTTTGGTCCTGGCTGGCCCCCACTCGCCGCACTGTACGCAGACTTTACAAACCAGGAGGCTCTGCACAAAGCGCACACATAGGTGCAAAAAAGGCAAGCGCGTGCGTGCAGCAGAGCGAGCTGTGAGCGGGATGGTGTCGGAACAGACCCCGAGCAGTTTGTATGTGGCAGACTTCGTGGGTTTTTGTTGTATCAGGACCCTAAGCAACGCCACTGGCCCTTGCCGTAGCTAAAGGTCTTCTGGGGATTAATCTGAGCTTCATGTTTGTCATTTTAAAGGAGGAACAAAAAGGCAAGAAGAAAAAAAATACCAAAAAGAAGCTGTCAACCAACAACGCGAACAAACCGGCTCAGGAAGGCAGCTCGCCAGAGCCGAAGCTGGAGTCACATGCCAGCAGCCTCACAGATCACGAGTACACCGCAGGGGCCAGCACCTTTGGGGTCGCCCAGCCTAACAAGGGATCGCAGCCGATGGCACCCGGTGTTTTCCTCACACAGAGGAGACCCTCAGCATCCTCGCAGAACAATGCCTCCGCCAAAGGTACCAGGAAACGCCTGGGGTTATGGTGTAGGAATGGGGAAGGGTGAGTTGGTCATGTAATCCGTGCCTTTTGCAGGGCCCTCACGTGTCGTGACTGTCCTGGGCGTGTAGAAGTGCTTCGGCAGGTCAGATCTGGTCAGAGGCAGAGCCCGTGGCCTTGGCCGTCCTGGCGCTGTGGGCCCAGAGGTGCATTTTGCTGCTGGGCTGTTTGTGGCAGGCTGTGAGGCATCCCGTGCTAGGACATACTCCTGAGCGTGCCCCGAGGCTCCTGAGGAACACCTGCAGTGGTCACACCACAGTCCAGCGTGTCTGGTGAAGCCTTGTCCAGGGGAAGACGTGTCGTGAAGGGTGTTCTGCCCAGGGCTAGGTCAGGCACTGCTGTGCCTGGGTGATGTTCGCCCACCGGTGCCGACGTGTATGTGAGGACATCCTACCCAGCAAGTGTAGGGCAGTGTGAGTCTGCAAACCTCTTGGGAGTTGCCACCAGGGAGTAGAGGAATGTCAAACCTTGGGAGTAACGCAGCTACACAACCAAAGCCAAGAGAGGAAGAGGTCACTTGTTGGCTGCCGGTCAAACCTTGGGAGTAACGCAGCTACACAGCCAAAGCCAAGAGAGAGGAAGAGGTCACTTGTTGGCTGCCATAGGGGAAGTGTTCCAAAGCTGAGGCTGTCCTGGAGTCTGGGCTAGGACCTGCTGTTCTCTGCTTGAACTTTGCTCAGAAGGCGTGAGAGAGGCAGGGCTGGGGGACAGGCACTGTGGAGTGTGAAGATTAAATGTACGATCCCACTGGGAGAGGCCCTGGTGTGGAAAGTGAGGCAACGTGGCAGAAGTAGCTCGCATTCCCCTGCATTTGAGTGGAGCAAATCAGAGGTAGTGCCTGGTGTCCTGCCAAACAGTAGAACATCAGAGCAGCTTGCATGGGCTGTACAGGAGGATGTGCATAACCCGTGGTAGGTGCTAGGGTCCTGCCGGGAGCTCGTGGCTGTCTGCGGAACCGGAGTGGAATGAACAGATTTGCCAGGAATTGTGTCTTTGTGCTGAAGTGGTGGCTTTAGTGAAGCAGGTCCAAGCCAGTGGAAGATGTGATGGGAAGAGGAGTGCTGAATGGAGCCGAACCCCAGTGTGGCTGGTGAGCTGGGTGGCCCAGTCAGGGTGTTGTGAAGGGAGCCTGACCGGGCACATGGATCACACCTTGCCCCTGGTATAGCGCAGTCCTCAAGGGAGAGAAGGAGCCATGCGCCAAGAAGGCGAGTGGCTGACCTCGCGGGGAGCGGAGCACTTTCAGGGCCTCCTGTGCAGGGTCTTGGGACAGCTGGGGACACCACGGGCACTTCAGGGCATCTCTCTGCATGGAGCACAGGACAGCCCTCAGCCTGGGGACTACCAGACTGGGCATCCCTGGGAACCAAGGGACCATGGAAGGAGATGGTGGGATGAAGCAGAATTAGGGAGCTCCAGGACCTGCTCAGGGAAGGTCTCTCAGTCTTAGAGTGAGACGGAAGGATGAGAAATGAGGAAGCTTCCCATGGAAAGTGACAGCCACGCTGTCACGGTCTTTAAGGCTGTGGCATTTAATGCAGATGGGGAAAGTGGAGAGGAGCTGCAGAGTGCACCAGTGGCAGCATGATGGGAAGAGAGAAGGTTTGTGTGTTCTTGGCGACCGAGGGAGTTCCTGGCCGTAAGATGTGGTAGCTGGCAAGCGGTGGGGCAGCGAGCAGCTGTGGTGGCTGCAGCAGTCCCTGAGGACCGGCACACAGGGAACACAGACCTCACGGAAGCGCACAGCTCATGAGCAAGGGCCCTGGCTTGTGGTGGTGATGTCCTCTTGTCAGTATGGGGACAGAGGAGGTTGTCCACTTTGGGTGTGCTGTAGTGCCTTGGTGCTGGCCTGAATATGTAGGAAGTGTGTGTGTGTGTGTCTGTCTGTGTGTGTCTATGTGTCTGTCCAGTGTCCTGGCGAGGCGGGATGCAGATGGGGTAAGAGAGGGCAAGGAGAAATGTGGAGCTGCGATGGTGCATGGGTTGGTCTCAGTGCGGTGGGCAAGGCGTCCTCGGGGCAGCATTGGCCCAGGGCTCGTGGTGGCACGCAAGCTCAGTGTCCCTGTCAGAGGATGGCAGAGGGGGCCCAGGGGTGCCTGGGAGCATACGGGTGTGCGGCAAGGACAGCCTGCCGGGTGCGAGGCGCTACGGCTTGTGTGTGGGTGGACGGAGGCATGGCAGAGCAGGACCACGCTGGGTGGCTGGGTCCGGACTGGCAGCGTGCGGGCGTCAGCAGCGCGCCAGGCTGGGTGGTGCCACCGGGCAGCGGGGCTGGCACTGCCGGGGCAGGAGGAGCCCCAGCTGGCAGAGGGGGTGAGATGAAGATGAGAATGAGGATGAGATGAGGATGAGAGGAGAGGAGAGGAGATGAAGATGAGATGAGATGAGGGTGAGGTGAGGTGAGATGAGGATGGGATGAGGATGATATGAGGATCGGATGAGGATCGGATGAGGATGAGATGAGATGAGATGAGATGAGATGAGGATGTGGATGAGATGAGGATGAGTTGAGGATGTGGATGAGATGAGGATGTGGATGAGATGAGGATGAGGATGAAATGAGGATGAGATGAGGATGTGGATGAGATGAGGATGAGGATGAGATGAGGATGAGATGAGGATGTGGATGAGATGACGATGAGATGAAGATGAGATGAGATGAGATGAGGATGAGATGACATGAGGATGAGGATGAGATGAGCCACCGCCCTGAGCGGGGTGTGCCTGAGGCAAGCGTCCCTGGGCACGGGTACGTGGCACGCCCCAGCTGGGTCTGATGGCCTTGGAGGTGCCGGGCGGGGGGGCAGGGCTGGCTGCGGGGCAGCCTGGAGGGGCTCCGGCGGAAGGAGGCGACCGCGGGGGGGGGGGGGGGGTGGATGGG